GCGTGACTTGCAAAAAGCACGCCAAATACCCTTGTAAGGGTATTTGGCACAATACCGTAGAGCATATTAAGAAAGCACAAGATGCTCTGGTGACATCTGAGAACAAACACAGACAACCGTCTGCATTTCTGCATCTTGGTTGGAAGCCCAGATCTGCTCTTGACTTTCTGTTACCTGAAAATCAGCCAACTGCAGCACCTGGAAGCTTAGAGTTTGCTGTAAAGTACGAACAGATGCTGCAGCAGGCCGTAGAGCATATTAAGAAAGCACAAGATGCCATGGTGGCATCTGAGAACAAACACAAACGACCGTCTGCATTTCAAGTTAGGTGAACGAGTCTTGGTAAGATCATCTGAATTAGGCCAAGAGTTGGGAATTTCACGCAAACTGATGCCACAGTACTTTGGCCTTGGGAGATGCTGGACATACTAGGAGATCAACCCGACGGCCCATTATATGTGATTCACATTCCGGGTCACCTCCGTACGCACCCTGTTTTCCATGCAGCCAAATTGGCACCCTTCGCTGAAACTGAGCAGTTTCCCTCAAGAAGATCTATGCTGCCCCCAACCATGGTTGGACACGTGGACATCGACGACATTGTTGAGCACAAGCTGATGCCTGCGCCCAAGCGTCCAGGCAGGGGACGCCCTCTGAAACTGCAGATGCGGTACCGAGTGCGGTTCAGACACCATACAGATCCTGAAGAAGGTGGTTCACCAGAGAGAGCTAATGAAGACTGCGTCTGTATTTTGTTTTGAGAAGCTTTGCTTACCTCATTGAATTGAATGTCTAATTCAGGCAGAATAATTTGACTGAACATTTTGGCATCTCGTTTGATGAAAAATGCTATTAAGTCCAAAAACTTTTGATCTTGAATTCGTGATAACAAGGCGCCGCTCAAGCTATGAACGGAATTTGAAAGGGAAGCAGCCTTCTGTGTAACGACTACTCAGAGGACTATCGAAGTAAAGGAGGAGGGAGTGCGAGGGTTTATGCCTCGGCATAGGGCCCTTGAGCAGGCGCGTGCCTGCCATAAGTGAAGGTGGGCCCCCTGAATCTCGATGTGCCCTGAACTCGTCAATTTTTGCAAATCTTGGTCGGCGCCAGACAGTTGCCACGTGCCAGTTGGTTACAATCCGCCTTTCTCGTGAGAATCCCAAATATTTGTGAGCCTTCCAGGCTCTTCCAGCAACGTAGTCGAAGCAGGGAGCATCTTACGTGTGTGCCTGGGTGTTTGGGCATGCCTAACCAATTCGGTCCCAGGCCACTGTCTGAATTGGGCCTGGGCGCAGACACTTTGGCCGAGACTGAAGCTACTGGAAACTCGGTCTCACATGGGGGTAGCAAAGGCAGGCGCCTGCCTCTTTCCATATAGGAACGGGCAGGGCGCAGGGCTGGGTAGTCGGGCACTTGCAAGCACATGCGGCAGTGCTGCTGGAGCTAGCGCTGGTGGGGCTGCTGCTGCGCTAGGTGTGGGCAAGTGTGGGCAAGTGTGCGCGTGCGCGCGTGCCATCGTGCGAGAAGGCAGGGCGCTGCTGAGGGCAGCGCCATAGCCAGCCCCACGTAGTTGGGGCTCGTCTTGGACATAGCCAGTGGAGGTGGCGGTGGTCTTCGTGGATGAAGGAGAAGAAGTGGGTGATGAAGTCAAGGTAGAGAGAGAGGATGAGGTTGATGAGGGGAGGGCATGTACCAGGTCTTGGTGAGTCTACAAGGGTCGACATCTTCATGTACTTCGGTTGTGCTGCTGATGTCAACAGGATGCATTGTCAATTCGTAGGCTGCTAGTAAGCTGGGTGATCGTAGTCTGGGCGCTGAGCGCCGAGTTGGATGAAGGACTCGGGATACATATGTTGGTGGTGGCGAGAGTATGCTCTCATTGAGATTCGGATTCAGTGCTTTGTTTCTCCGTTGGTGGAATATCAGCGCATTACTGCTTACTGGACAGCGTTTGGACTTGCTGGTTTTCATTGTGATTTTGCACTCTGGATTTCTGTCATTTTGCTATGTCTCGTTTTCCTTGCATACGCGTACGTGCGATTTTGGGTTCGTACGCGTAAGCCGGAATATGTACGCATATGCCCTGCGTACTCGTACGGGGTGATACCCAGATTTTGGGCTACAGTGTCGAAGGGGAGTCATTTCTTCATTTCGCAAATTTGTGGAAGTGCTGCTGGAGCTTGTGCAGACTAGCGACCTGGGGGAAGAAAAACGCTGAAGGGAGGAAGAAGACCAGCGCCCTGGCCGCAACAGAGCACCATTGCCAGGAGGGAGGAGACGAAGTGTTTGGCGGCAATAGCCGCCCGTTTGCTGTGAGACACACCACAGAGGCATTCAGGGTAGATCTAGGACATTGAGGGAGGAGAAACAGTAGTGGGGAGCATTGAGGGATGAGCAGTGCAAGTAGCAAGTGAGAGAAGAGAGAGAGAGAGAGAGAGAGAGAGAGAGAGAGAGAGAGAGAGAGAGAGAGAGAAAGAAAGAGAGAGTGTGGCATACTGCGCATCCACACGGGCCTGCAAGGCCGGACCAAACAAGGAAAGTAAGGCCCCTACAGGCCCTGTGTCGTTTTCACCCTGAAAGCCTGAAAACAAGGGCCTACAGGCCCTGTGTCGTTTTCAGCCTGAAAGCCTGAAAACAAGGGCCTACAGGCCCTGTGTCGTTTCAGCCTGAAAGCCTGAAAACGAGGGCCTACAGGCCCTGTGTCGTTACAGCCTAAAAGCCTGAAAACGAGGGCCATTTTCAGGCCCTCATAAAGTTGGCCTGCCCTGAAACTTAGGCACCAGACCAGGGTTTTTAGCACAGGCCAGACAACCTTTGTTTGAACTTCAACACCAGGGTCTGGCACGTTTTGGCATTGGCAAGAGCAGCCTCCTGGACGGGCCAGCACTATATAAGACTGGCCCGCCCTGCAGGCTGCAGGCAGTCACGAGACAGTCACGAGGTAGTTCCCAGGCACTTCACGTGCAGGAGGCAGGAGGCAGTCTTCAGGATTCGGCAGCAGCACTCTGGAGGAGCGCTGCAGTAGTAGTAGTAGCGTTAGCAGTAGTCTTCAGCGCTGGGCGCTATCAGGAGCTAGAGTAGTAATGGAGAGAGAGAGATGGTTGGCGGAGGCCAGGGAGACTTACCTGTGGCGCCATAGCTCCAGCTTCGTCTTCGATGTACCTGCAACAAGCCGCCACCTTCACAGGGTAGTACCGGAGAGAGAGAGAGAGAGAGAGAGAGAGAGAGAGAGAGAGAGAGAGAGAGAGAGAGAGAGAGAGAGAGAGAGAGAGAGAG